ATCCATCTTCCTCCATCTCTTTGCTTCTTTGAAGAATGCACAAACAACTAAGCTATTCTCTAATAAGTTTAACTCTGCCACCGTTTCCTTTACTTCCAGACATATTTTAGATATCTAGCTCCAAAAGGTTGCAAGCTCTGGGTCCTGACTGGAATGGATGGAGGCAGCCATGAGTCAAGCATCTAAGCACTAGTGAGGAGCAGCGCTTAGGCAAACCTCTGAACTTAACGTTTTCTGCGTAGAGCTCTAGGCAGCTCTGTGCTGAGTGTGGATTTTAGCCGACTCTGAGGCTGTTCATGCTGAATGAGTGTTTTCTTTACCCTATTATTTCTGAAGTCTTATTGACCAATTTCAGCGAAATGTGAGAGAGGTATTAGGTATCTGCAAGTGCTAGAGGGAAGAGACTCAGAACAATGCCTCCATGCAGCAGGAGCTGAACAAAGTTTTCTGCCTGTTTTGGTTTCCTGGCCAGTGAATCAAACCGCATGAAGCTACTTACTGCTCAGCGCACGTGGCTCTGCCAATGATCTGCCCATAGGTAAAGAGCTTGGAAGGGAGAAGAAGGTACTAGAGGTGAGAGAGGTGGGGAGTGTGGGAAAGGGAGATGAAACAGAAGTTTAGGAGGTAGGAAACATATTTTTTGGATATTCCAGTCTAAGTCATCTGAATCAGGAGATTTTTGATTCTGCCTTTTGGGCAAGACAACTAATGTTAGATACCTACAATGCAGATCCTACAATGGGAAATGCCTTAATACCTTTTTTTTTTTTTGGGGGGGGGGGATTAGACCTGCAGGACTGCAATCTGCAGTATGGTTATAAAATGTATTTATTGGATCATGTGTCACCAAAGTGCATTACTTGCAGGGCAGAACCTTAGTTCTCTTTGTGTGGATAAAGAGGAAAAAAGATTAAAGAAAAGTTACAAAAATCAAGTGCTACAAGCAATGTCTGTTTTTCTGTGCTACAAAACTCCTCCTCCCTCATCTGTAGGCACACAAAAACATAGTTCCAACTGCAAAATTGTGGCTATGTAGAAGATAGAACTTTATCTTGTTACTACACTTCTTTTTTTTACCACGTTCCTGTGATAACGTTTCACTTATGCCGCAAAAATTTCAAAAACTGCTGGAAGTAAACCTGAAGTATCATGAAGATAAAGAGAAACAGATACAGATGCTTATTTAAAACTCACATGCATTCATTTATGTGCGGGTGTGCTAGAACCATACAACAAAGCTGGAGACCTGCTTGTCCTATGGAATTTTTTCAGTGTTTTGTTTCACAAACCACACATTCATTAGCCCCGCCATATAAAAGTATGCTTTCATGAATCTACCTGTATGGAGAACTTTTAGTAGCAACCTAGAAAGAGGAATGAAACATTAAGATATTAATGATCCACAGGAAATGAAGAAGCATGAAATGCAATTGGCTTGATCCAGTTTAAGCCTTTCAAAGTCATTATTCCTCAAGTATATGGCCATTCAAGTCCCTTACATGCTCACAAGCATTTTTCTATCTCTGGAAATTTCAGATTATCTCAGCACTTTCAATAGCATGATCTGTTCTAAACTCACTTTTAGAAAGCAGGTCTCATTCTTCACATAAGGCATATCCAACTAGTGCTAGATAACAAGGAAAGCTTTTCTATTTAACAGGCTTTTCTATTTATCCTCCACAATGCGAGTCAGTACTGACTAGATACCAGTATAGAAACGATGTGTAGGAGCAGACTGAGTAAAATAAGTAAAATGAATGATAGGCATACAAATAAGCAGCTATACCATATTTAAAGCTATTGCTTTTAATCTTCCACCTTGTTTTTGTCTCCATGTTCAAAGAACTGTACATAAGTAACAAGGGGGACACTGATACATTACTGTTTTCAGTGTGTAATTCCCAATATAAATTTCTACTCTGTATTTGTGAGATTATACTGATAAATCCAAAGAAAAGAGAGGGCAGTAGACAATGAGGTTTTAAGGCAGGAAAAGAATAAGAGGGGGAAAGACATGCAGAAGAAAGTTTTGATTCAGCTGAATTCAAAAGCAAAATCCTTACTAACCTCAGTAACGCTATGATGTTGTCCCACAAGATTGGTCTTAGGATAATACATGTGATTCTAGTTTGTGTGAACTCGCGCCGTTCCACTCCTGATACTTGTAACAGTTTTCTCTTGAGCAACTCCCCTTTCTTTTCGTGCTATATGGTTAGTAAGGTACTAGAAAGGGCAAATTTGTGAACTTGCCACCCAGGGATAAGCTTGTTTGCAAGAGAGTGCTCACCTCGAGATTGCTTGGGTAAACAAGCAATAAGGGTTTTTACTGCAGCATAAAACCTGTATAGAGGTAGTTCAGGTGACTCTGAAAGGAACATTTTCACAACGTGAAGGAGCAGCAGACTTTCTAGAGCAGTAATTTGGCCCCTTGCATCTTAAATCGCACGCTGAGGAGGCTGTTGTCTGCACTGACAAGATGGCAGCGAGACTGTCGCAGGCTGAGAGCCACGTTTTGTTAGTGCAGGTTGTCACAAAGACCAGTGATGAGCCCCAGTCCAAAGGCAAAGACACAGCCCGTGACAGGTGAACTCAACCTCTCGATTCCCTGTGATTCCAAAACAGCGATGGTGCCTCAAATGCAGTCATCGTTTCTACAGCACATTGCTCTCCGGTGTCTTCTATAGGACGCCACGGTTTATCTGACTTCAAACACAAAATTAATGCTAGTGTTTGCCACTTTTCCCAATCACTCTGCCTGTTCCTCAGTGCAGGGGCAGGTGCTCTGGTTTACCCTGCAGGCCTTTCAGCTGCCTAACAAAGCAAGCAGTCTTTGCACGGGACTTCTGTGAAACTAGTTATGCTTCCCTTTGAGGGGTGCACCACCTAAGGATATTTGGGGAAAGCGGAAGTGTAATAGGCATTCACACTGGGCCCACGAATAAGCCCCCTCTGCCGTTTTTCTGTTGAGTTATAGAAAGTAATGAGCTGGAGAGAAAAGCTGAGATACAGTCTCAAATAAGGCCCCTGTCTCACCCTATCCTGCCGCAACACCAATTTATAAATTGCCGCGTTCCGCTTTCAGTGCTTTCAGTGGAAACCCAAGGTGGAGACATCCTAGGCCAGCTCCCGTTTCTAGAAAAAGCCGTATTTCAGGGGCAGACTCTGTTGACTGGAATATTATCACAGCGGCTGGTTCTTGTGGTAACCCCTTAGGAAACTGTTAGACTCTGTGGTAAAGCTCTGTGTCTGTGCTTAACAACTTCTAAGTCCTGCGGTTACGTAATACAGATCATATTCTTATAAGCACAGGAGTTACAATATCAAGTGAAGATTAGTGCTCAGTAGAGGTAGGTGCCAATATGTCAGAGAATTAAGGATGCTTTCCGTGTTGTAAAAAGAAATAACTCGATTGTGCTGCTGGCTGGTTAGATGGCATGTTTGGTGTTGTGATATATTCTGGAATATCCCTCAGGAACTCAGGCAGCTGCTCGAAGGCAGGGGTGGAAGAAGGTAATACCCTTTACGCCAGGTTCAAGTGGACAGATTAAAATCAGGATGATCACTGATTTACATGACGACATGGCTGAGGAGCTTTGTTTTAGATAGCCATTTCTTATGCAGTTTTCCATGTAAACATTTTATTTTTTTCTAAACAGAAGGCAATTCTCATTGGCTGGAAACTTTAAAAAGTTATTTTCCACTAAGTGTACCCATTACACTAAATGTGAATTTTTTACTTTAAAAGAAGAATCAATATTCTTATCTTTTGAGTATATTCAGATAAGCAGCTTTAGCGATTACCATACGCTTATTATGATTTTAATTTTTTAATTATGTCATAAGATGCTGAGGGAAGTATTTCTTTTTCACTAAATAATTTTTAATTCTTGATTTATGTCTGACTTCACTTTCAGAAAACTAAAATTCAATGAAAACACAGACAGGAATTTTAAAATTTTTTGTTAATTAAAATACTCCTTTGCATTGGATGCATTGTGAAAGCAGTATAAAATATTTGATATGTAAAGTACAGTGATTAATTTTAATTGCTGTAATTTATTAATTAGTGGTTTTCTTTTTGGAGTTAGTAAATATAATTTATTTTCTTAGTCACTCTATTCTTCAAGATTTTAGAGTGATAGATCTCATCCAGACTTGCACCACAGGGAGAAAATGAGATTTCTTGCCTGTTTCCAGTCGGCTTCTTAGCATTGCGTGAGAACCGCTGAACTCTGTGAGCAGAACAAGCGGTTGTGAGGAAGTATTCTTTGAATACTGTGGTGAAAATGGCTGATATTATCAAAAGGTGGTTTTGCACGTCAGCAGACCAGTGGTTTCACTTTTTTTTTGAAATTCAGCAGCCAACTTATGGTGCATTTTTACCTATTTTATTTTTTTAATCATTAATTAAATGTTAGGTCTCTGTAACAGCTTTCCATTTCAAATATTATTTTAAAATATATTCAAAGTAAAATATCCAATTCCAATAAAAATTTTGATTTTTCTTTTTTTTTTTATCATCATTTTTTATCCGCCCTGTTCAGGTTACTGGAGATAATTCAAACTTTGTAAGTCCTGAGTAACTTGCTTCTAACAATTGTAATAAAGCTGGTAAGCATCCTACACAGTTACTGTGACCTTGGATTCGTAACTAGTTTTAGCATTCATAGGCAAGTTGTCTTTGTAGGTGTGCATACCATTCTTGTCAAACGGTAGCATTTTGCTCTTTCATCAGTAATAGAATAAATCTCATTTCTTATATGCTCACTGAAGCAAATACTGAAAAGGATAATAGATTGGCAATGTGTTATGTAATCCTCTCATCTGCCCTAGGTTTTACCTGTTTATTTAAGAACTTGCCTTTTTAGCATCTGAGACGTATGTGTGTGTGTGTGTGTGTGTATGAGTGTGTGTGCACGTGTGAGTGTGTGTGCACATGTGTGAGTGTGTGTGCGTGCGCGCACGTGTAACTATGCATTGATAAATACGTTCTCGTGTCTTGTCTGTAGGATGCATCACTGGCTGAGGCAAACTCATTCAGTCCTTCAATGCCAACATCTCCCTCATCTATGATAAACCAGTATAAATTTGAAGATGAACCAGATTTAAGAGATCTCTTCATTACAGTTGATGATCCTGAAAGCCATATTACAGCCATTGAAACATTTATTACGTACAGAGTAGTCACAAAGGTAAGCTTCTATTGCTGGTCTGAATGGCTTACCTTAATAATAGTAGTAGTATTTTCTTTTCTTTATTGCAGCCTTAAAGAATTTTGACCCTTCCTGTGTATCGTTCTCTGACATCTTAAGTCAGATTTCAAAATTATACTGTGATTCTGCTATGAGCTAGAGACAATAAAGCTGTATGAAACTGTGGGGTAGATTCTGAAAGCAAATCTAGTATGATGAGTCCACATGCGTACGTATTCAGGGCTTTTAGGCTGAGAAAATAGATAATTAGTATTCCTTCACCTGCAAAATCAGTTCTACATGAAAACAGCATTTTCTACTGTGATCTTTGACAGGAATATGAAACAGCAGAAAGACTGATTCAGTTTGAAGACACTGTATCAGACCAAGTATTCATGACTTTTGGATCAGCTGCAGGGTAGTGATCTTTTCCCTTGCTTAAATGTTACCTGCTACAAAGCCTTCCGATTCCATTCTCTTGTAATTACAACAGCTGCTTTCACATGGAAGTTTGTTTCCTGTTTGCAGTTGCATATTATTTCTGGGGAAGCTGCAGCAATTCTCAAATGAAAAGGTAATATTAGGAATCAAATCAGTGTATTTGTAGCAGTCCTGAATGCAAATCATTCACTGGGAATAAGGAATAAAGTCAGCATTGTGAGACCAGTCAGCTCTTTTGGGATTACCAGCAAGTATTCTGCAGGCTGCATTTTGAGAATTGCTGTGTTAATTTATTTTACTTTTTTAAAAGATTCATTTAAAACCAAGTTTTCAAATGGGAATTATTCATCTTTAAATAAGAGAAGATATCAGTTCCTCATAAAATATTTAAAGAATGGGAAGAAAGCTATCTTTGTTAGGTTGGTAGCAATAATTTTCACTTTATGCATGTTTATGTAGAAGCATGGAAGGGCTGTAGGTGGATTTCTTTTTTATCTGTTCTGTCCTTTCTTATCATATTTAATTTGTAGTGCTGGTTGATAATGATAAAGTAATAGCATTCTTCCTACACACACTGAGAAATTTTTATTCAGCCCTCAAAAATGATTAGATTACAAAAATATGTTTGAGTTTTTTATCATTTACTTGCATCCCATTTTAAGTCTCTGTGCAACAATGAACGCTAAACACACATTAATGAAAACTTGGGCTCTTTTCTACATTGATGCCAGAAGACAGGGCAGTGATAAAATAAGTCTCATAGTTTGGCAATTTTTCAACACTGTAATAAGCATTTTTTCTAAGCTGTAAAGGTTTGTTGGCAAGTTTGAGCAAGGACTACAGAACTGGAAGTGATGATGGAATGTAGAATCAATTAAACAGTGCAATAAATTGTATTTCTATGATATGCTGAAGTTTTCATGTTTTGAATATAGGGATTGTTGACTAACATCAGCAGGTTCCAAGGACATATGTCAGCTCCTTCTAATTTTTTCAGAATGCTAAAAAATGGGCTTTTGTCATTCTTAGATTTTTTAATTACTTTTAAAAAAGAGCCCTAAAAGTAATGAACATAAACATGGTTGCTGAGAAGGAAATGCTTCATCAGAATAATGTTTGAAATCTTTTGGAAACACTGTAGCAGGCTAATCGTTACAAGTCATTCTGTTTGCAGTTTAGTACTTGCTTTTTTTTATACAGTAGAAATTTGATTTCTTAGTAGAAAAGGATGTGTTTTATCTCTTACAATAGTTGATTGCACATTAAAAATGAACAGCAACCAGCTAGCACGGGCAAAGTAGAACCATGTATGTGTTTCCTTCAAGTTCTCCATTTTCTTTAAAAAAAATTTGTTCTTTTTTTCTATTATTCAAATATTCGAGGCCTGTTTTTTCTATGGTTTTCAGACATCTCGCTCTGAATTTGACTCCAGCGAATATGAAGTTCGAAGACGATATCAGGATTTCCTCTGGTTGAAGAGCAAACTTGAAGAAGCACACCCGACACTGATTATTCCTGTTCGTTTGCTAAAACTTACATTATTTTTATTTATTTATAAGATAGGTCCAGTTTTATACAGGGAGGTCTGAGGTCTTTCTTGAGTTTCTGAAATCTCACAAACATTAACCTACTTTCATAGTTTTATATGTATGTGATAACTAAAAATCGCATGGGGTATTTCTCATATCTTCCAGTTTTTGCAATTTATTTCAGTCTTTCTTAGTTTTAGTCGTATTCTGCTGCACTGTCTGCTACAAGAACCAGTTTATACCACTGTTGAATATGTTAATTTCATAACAATCGGGTTTTCCGTGGTGGATTTTACAAGGCGTACCTATGTTTTTTAGTAAGTAGAAGAACTTTTGAAATACCTCTGATATTATGCACAGTTATGCAATGTATTTTTTCTTTTTTCCTTAGCCATTGCCTGAAAAATTCATAATGAAAGGAATGGTGGAACGATTTAGTGATGAATTCATTGAGACTCGAAGAAAAGCTTTACATAAATTTTTGAACCGCATTGCTGATCATCCAACTCTAACTTTTAATGAAGACTTCAAAATTTTTCTTACTGCACAGGCTTGGGTAAAATGATTTTATTCTTTTTTACAGTTATAGGAAACCATGTCTTGTCTTAGTAGAGTAAATCAGGAGTCTCCCTAGTTCAGCATGCAACAGTCTCCAACCATGTCTTGCTACAAAAGTGTCAAAAGAAGACATAAAACTTACAGAATATTACTCCCCCCAAGATAACTTTGTCTGTGGTGGGTTTGGTAATAATCATGGGTATTGTCATACAGATTGATACAGATTGCTGTACCTTCTAAAGCAGTTTTGTTGCTGCATTTTGTTTTTTTGTGGCAAATTTGTGCTATTTTAACTCTTCATGCTTTTTGTTATACATATAAGCTTCCAAGAGTATATGAAAAGTAATATTTTAGGTGAATTATTGTTTTGGCATAGTGCTCTCTTCCCCCCGTTCTCCACCCCCTCTCCCCCTTTTTTTTTGGCATATGTCCCTCTCCCCCCCCTTCCCCCCCCCCCCCCCCCCCCCCCGCTTTTTATTCTAAATTATACTTATCTCAGAAAAAAAATATACAGCCTTTGAATTTCCTACTATATTTTTGCAAGATGTATCCAGCTGAATATTAGAGTTCTGTACTCAGAAAGCCTGCCTCTCGACGTCGGCAAACCTTATTCTAGCAACACATATTAACGGTTACGAAAAAATAGATAATTATTTCTTCCAGTGGGAACATTTTTTGTTTTTCTGAATGACTCCTATCTGCAACCGTTTCCTCTGTTTTCCTGCTCAAAAGGCTGAATTGCAGACTAGCTAACACCCTAAAGAATGAAAGGCTAAAATTTTTTGCCATCTTTAATCATTCTTTTTGAGAGCACGATACACCACATGCTTATGTTTGTCCAGAGAAGCTTAGCTAATAAATACACATGACTGTTATGCTTCTGAGACTGGTCTAATAATTTTAGAGGAAGCTTTATACACTAAAAAGACATCTGAAGCATTTTTTTTTCACGAAGGTTTTTGTATGTAGTTTTTTTCTTTTTTTAAAAAACTTTAAATAGCAAATTATGTTTAGAGAATTTAAAAATGTACATGAAAGTAAACACAGCATGTTTTGTTTTTAGGAACTTTCATCACACAAGAAGCAGGGTCCTGGTTTGCTGAGCAGAATGGGACAAACCGTAAGAGCTGTAGCATCCTCAGTAAGAGGAGGAGTTAAAAATCGACCTGAAATGTTTACAGAAATGAATGATTACATGGAAACTTTTAGTCAGAAAATAAATGTATTGGACAAAATAGCTCATAGAATTTACAAGGAAGAAAGGGGTAAGTAGCAAACAACAAACCTCATTTTTATTGATTTAAGAAATAAATATATTGAAAAAGTGAGTTTATATTTGATGTAAATTTACTTTCATTGTACCAGACAAAATACTTTTCAAAATACTATTCAAATTAGCTTGAATAACCTGTTAATAACTTGTTTAACATATCATTAAACCGCTTGATGGGGAAATTAGAAAGAAGAAAATACAAGTCCAGCTAGCTTCTTATTTGCTTATTGGAGAACTACCTGACCCTTTGTTTTGTACTTTCAGTGAAATGTGAAGTTACAGTTTTGTATGCAGTATCATACTGATATAATGCTGCCCAGATTGCAAATCTCTCCTTTTTGGTTTAATTCTGCAGCTTTGTTTCTGTGTTGACAAAGCAGAATTTTTTTAAAAATTTAAAAGCTTTACTGTTGGCCATAATTTCTGTCATGGGAAACTGCCTGGTAGTCTTCCTTGATTAAGAAAGATGACTTCCTAAGCTCAAATTTTGCTTAAAAGTAACACCTACTTGGCACTCTAAATTATTTAATTTCTGAGCCTGACCCTGATCTCAGACTAGCCATGTTTATTAGAATTTCTGCTGGTCAGTACTTGAGGGATTTTACTTGTGTATAAAATAGAATTTGAGGAGCTACACTGCGTTCCATAATAACTGAAACCTTACGCCTTAGCGTGCAGTACCAGATCTCAGTGTGTCCTGACTAAGTTGGAGGGGTTTTAGGTAAGGAGAATACATGTTACTGAAAAGGATTCATTTTGACGTAGCTCACTTCAGTGGAAACAGCTGGCTGAGATCCTTAGTTTGAAGGCATCAATGCCAAAATAGATGTTGCAAAACGTTATGAATTTTGACATGTTCCCAAGTGCTGCTGGATAGATCTTCTTTCTAGATTTTCCAAATAGTAATCTGCAGAACTCTTGCGGTGTGCAGGGCAGCACTGTTGTGGATGTGAATTGCTGAGAACTGTGATTCAGGAAATATTCCTGCTAGTAATTGCTCAACACAGGGTTCTTAATTACATCTTCCATGTGGGCTTTTTGTCCAACTGATTTCAAAGTAAACATTACACTCTTGATGGCTTACAGCCACGTATGCTTTGCATCTTTTGTTGGACATGCCTTCATTATAAATTCAGTTGTGATGAAATTGTGATGAAATGGTTTCAATACATGAACAAAGTGTTCATGGTACGCTTTGGTACATTCATGGTCGTATCTAGCCTTACCCAAGTTTAGTACTACCAAAGGGCACAATAAATTCTAGGCCTTATTCTCTCTGACATGCCCCAACAGGCGTGCTTAGAGAATATCACTGAGGCTGGAGAATATTTCTAGAATATCCATATATTTAATATAATAAAAAATACTAGAAGACTGCCTATTGCCCAGGGCTGCTATAGCCTGTGTCCGTCTACGTAATGACAACATGAAGTAATTCGGACCTGTGGATGATCTAAATACAACCATCTGGTCTTACATGGATATGTGTGTCCTTTAAAAATGGCTGAGTTTTTTTGCTGATAGTTCTCTGGGAATTGCTTAGTTACAACAACTTCATTTATTAATTCATAAACAATGAGCTGCAGTTTACTTATCTTGGTCATTTGAGCAAGTTTAACCATTAGTCTCAGTCGTTTGTTTTGTTCGCAGTAAATACAAGGTTGCAGTTAGTATCACTTAGACGTCTGTTAATGAACAAAAAACTAATATGTGCATATGTTCCTATTAAGAGTATTTTAATGAAATGAAGGAATACGGCCCCATCCACACGCTTTGGTCAGCATCAGAAGAAGATGTAGCAGACTCCCTAAAAGGTGTTGCCAGCTGCATTGACAAGTGTTGCAAGGCTACAGAGAAACGAATGGCAGGGCTCTCGGAAAATCTGCTGCCAATTATACATGAGTATGTTCTCTACAGTGAAATACTGATGGTAAGGTTTCCTTAAGGATTGCTTACGGCAATATATAAAGTTTGGCTTAGTCCAGTGCCATACTTTAGAAGAGAATTTGCAACTGATGACAATGATTTTGCAGTCACTCCATTAACTATTTTTCCTAAACTTGCAAAGCACAGGATAGATGTCCATTAGTAGTGAATCTGCTTTGTCCTGTTCTCCTTGTTAATCAGGCAAGAGGCATCCTCTTTCAGATGAGAAGAGCTTGATAGTTTTTATTTTTGTTCTGGTAACTCCTGTTCTATTTTTTTATGGCAGGCAGTCCTTATTAGCTGTGCTAAAGAATATATGGTTTTCGTCATCTTAAAGAGAGCTCTGTATTCTAGCAGACAGGTTCAAGGAACAGCAGCCTAGAAAGACCTCTGACACTGGTGCAATATGAACTTATCTAGAAATAGATTGTTTTGGAGAAAAGAGAGGGAGAGATTTTTCCCTTCCTAGGATATACTTGTAAACTTTGTTTTCTTCTTCCAGAATACCAGGGAACTTCCAGTCCCTACATCATTGTATAAGCACATTGTGGTGTTTGCCATAAGCTAATATATATGCTCAGTTCCGTTAGTACATATTTTTCTTACATTAGTAGAGCACATAAAAAATCTGACTACAGAACTGAAAGAAACTCTGTCCTGGATGATAATCAATACAACTAAATACCTGACTTCAGCAGGTCATAATCCCACTCTGCTGCCTTCACAAGGCAGAACAGGTATACAAACTCCTCTTCATTTTGGATTTGACAGCCCACTGTAGTCTGAAACATGTATTCTGATCTCTCTCCTGGGAAGCCACCTCATACTGCAATGGTTTCTAAGTGGGAGCTGATGGTGTATTGCAAGCCATGTGTAGTGCAAGACCCAAGTTAATGGGACCTTTGCTGGCACTATACAGGGAGGTGCAGAGCATTACCAATTTCTCAAGCAAAGCTCAACTACAGAAAAGTTAAGAATTACTGCTGCAATGACTACTCTCCTTGAAACAAGCTTCACTGAAAAAGGGACCATTAAAAATGTCCTATTATCTCTCATTCTTTCAGGTTCTCAGGCCTCATTCCTTAAGTCCACATGTAGGTATTACTTTGCTTAAAAGAACGAAGAGATTAGAGTTGTAGCAAATTGCAGGACTGCCTCTCTCCCACTTTCAATGTTATTTTTCAGAGCCTCCAAGCCTGTTACTCATGAGCTGTCCCAGACTTTAACATTATTTTAGAGATGTTGCCTGCACACTGCCTTCTTGTCTGCAGTGCGGCTCACCCTTTTACAGGTGTTATGTCTGTAGCACAGAGAGGTTTGTTTGGACAAACCACAGAATAATTACTTGGCTTTTAATGAACACTTTTCAAATTGCTGATGCCATTTTTTTTTTCTGGGCACAAGGTTCTTGATGCAACATTTCCAAAGCAGCACTGGACTGCTGCAAGGTCCTGACCAGAGGAAAACCTTCCTCCCCTAGCTCGTATCTGTTCTACGATTGTTTCTTTTCTTTCATTCACCATGGATTTTTCCCACAACTTATTTCCCTGTCACAGTTTGGAGAGGTTACTATTAGTCATACTAAAAATGCAGCAGTGGAAGTCCCATGCTAGTAAACCCTGCTTTCTGAGGGCTTTTAACCCCTCGGCACAGATGCCTTTCTGTGCTGCTGCCAAGATAATGCACAAACGTACAGGTGAAGGTTTATCCAGTAAAAGAGGTTAATTCTTGTATTTTTCAGTGTTAGGAGTTCAGCCTTAAACTGAGGAAAGAGATTAATTCATAGCTAAAATATTTACATCTGGACTGACTCCTTCCTAACTGACTCACAGGGAGCGTAACTCCCTATACTACTCTGCCTCAGAGTACAAGAAATTACAGCAAATATTATATTAAATATTATACCAAAATTTGTTATTTAAAAAAAATTCATTTTTTCCTAAGAAGTCAGCATGTGTTTGTAGTTATTACACGTTAGTATTCAAATCATTCTTTTTATCTTGTAGTACAAACAGTATTTATGATAAAAGTTGGCACACAGTCAATACAATAGTTTTGAAAGAGGCAGAAGAAATAGTGAAAAAACAAAAAGGATTTCTAATATGAAGGAAAGCTGTTCCAGACCTATTTGTTTTCCTTCTATGCTTACAGCTAAACAGAATTTTATTTAAACAGAATAAAATTCTGTTTTTCTGTATTTATTTAAACAGAAGATATTCTCAGCTACTGAATGGTAAAGCTAGGAGTGTTAGTATTGCTGATGTATTACTCAGAATTGTCCAAAGTCATGTGTACCAAATTTTTGTAATGAGTACCTGTTCAAAAAAAATGTTGAAAAATTATTTGAAAATTAGCTTCCTAATTTATTCTGCTGTGTTTGTTAAAGTGACGAGATTTCAGAGTTAACTCGGTCAAATAAGACAGCTAGAGAAACTAGAGCTGCTTGTGCCCTGCGCTGTTTCAACTTGCCCTATGCAAGTTGCAAAATCTATGCAAAATCTCCTTGGTATATGCAGAAGAAGCAGTAAAACCAGTTGTGGCAAGGTAATGTAAAAGAAAGTTGTGAGATTTGTAATGATAAATTTCCTGCTTCTGATTATTTTTTAAAAGGACTAATGCTTTGTAACCTTTCTGTGAGATACATACACTGGATTTTACAGATGAGGAAACTAAGGCAAAGAGAAATTTAAATGACTTCCTCAAGGTCACAGAACAAATGAACATCAGAAATGGGAATTTAATCTGTACCGCCATTCCGGTTTTGTAGTCTAACAGGCAACATTTCCTCCCCTTCGTAATTATTTTTTGACAATTTGCTAAAAATCCAATAGCTGTTAATGGAGTTTTAGAGAAGGAAATAATTACACATACTGAAAATGAGCACATATATCAATATTAGCACATCCATCATTTTTATGTTAATTTTATCTGATTTTACTGAACTACCTTTGGCGCTTACAAAATAATATTGATGGCTTAAAGTCACAATTTCAGTAATATCTGTTATACTATTTTTAATTAATTATTCTTCTTTATATTGTAGCGTTTACTCAAATAAGATAATTTTGTTCACAATAATTCACAAACTCATGCTGCTGTTTTAAAACATGAATTTAAAACATGAACATATCATAGATTGATTCGACATTAAGTTAACTGCTGTTACAGTTTTTCTTACAATTAGCAATGATGCCTTGTATGGCAATTTTTTGTAGCATTGATTTTGGATTTCTTCAGATCCTTGAAAAAACACATAAGAAAAAATATAGATAATTAAAAAATAATTTTCACTAAATGGCATTAAATTTTTTTTTGAGGAAGGAACTTGTATCATGCCAAGATTCTTAAATCTTGTCATTCTGTGGTCTGGCTTAATTAATGAAATATCCCAATTGCATGACAAGTTTCTGAAAAGATGGCTAAAATTGGTTTACTTCCTTCATTTTTTTTTCCATATTAAGGGTGTTCTGAAAAGAAGAGACCAAATCCAAGGCGAGCTTGATTCCAAAGTTGATGCTTTAGCCAGTAAAAAGGCAGAAAAGGATCTGGTGAGTAAGTCAGCTTCTCTAAATGCTGAAATATTCTAGGCCTTATTCTAATTAGGAAAGATGAAGGCCCTGAAGAAAGCATGTCCTGTGAAGCCATGCTGTGTGACTCTATGGTGTCTGTATATTTCTCATACTTTGACAAAATTTTGGTGTTGCAGCTGTGCACACCGGGCAAAGGCAATCATGAGAAAAATGCAAAACTTAAGTAGATAGGTGGGTGTATCAAAGGACTGGCGATAGTGCAGTCTCGTATATAAAGTTTTGTCAACCCAGACTGTACAGCAGCTTAGTTTTAGTATTTCTGTTTTACTTGCGCACTGGGCATTAAAAGAAAGTGAGACTTGCTGCAGTGATCTTGTCACTGCTGCTCCATTGGTTTAGGAAAGAGGAGGGAGGTAGAATGAGCAACGCTGTTCATTGCACATACTTAAAAGTTATGGATTGTGTTCTTTCAGGTTTCTCTCCTATCTAGTTGGACCTTAATTTTTCTTAAGTTTTCCTTACAATATGACACCTTCATTCTAGTGAGGTCAGACTGTAACTGTGATAGCCCCTGGAGTCATCCTCAAAGCCAACATCAGAACTGAGTGAGCGGACGAGTTTGCGTTGCCCCAGTAGCTGGCCTGACTGCTGGAGCAGCCAGCCAGGTTCTTGCCTCTGGCCGAGCTGGGTGCAACCACAGCCACGCACACAACCCTGCTATGTCCCGTGCGACTTCAAAATACAACGGAGAATAGAATGGGCATTTCTTAAATATTTGATTGTTTAACTCTACAGCCCAAATAATGTTCTTTTAGCAGTGTTAAAACTGTTTGTGAAGTATTAGACAGTGTAAATAATACATAAAAATAACTAAATAGTAATTACAGTAACTTTTTACTACATCGAAGGAGAAAGTCCTTGACATTTCAGATACTTTTTATTAGGACTGTCATAACTAGCTTTCACATAAAGCTGATCTGTTCAGATGGTTTTAGCACTTGACATGCATATTTTTATTTGATTTCTTGTCAATGAACTGAATAAATAAGAATATATTACCAGTGTGTAAAATCTGTGATGTCAACAGTATATTTTGGAAAAATTTGCTTCTGTGTAGTGCAGTGGGACAGTACGTAAACACATCTATTTGTTTTTTCCTGAACTAGAAAGTCTGTTTACTTATATCTTAACTTGTCCTTTCATTTTATTACTTTTGTGCTCACAAGTCTCGTTTCGATTTCTCTACTTACTTTGCTACTTCTCCCATCCTAGTTTACATTATATGTGAAGTTCAAAGCTCTCTTAAACTACAGGGAGGATGTTAAGTAACAAAAGCCCAACAGGCCAGAAGTTGGGGTAGAAATGACAATTCATAGTCCTCTTGTCTACTGGCGTTACTGCTGGAGGCCAGTGTATTTCTCAGAGAGCTCATGCCTGCAGTTGCCTGTGAAAGACTGGGTAGATACAGGCAAAATCTGTAAACTTGACATGTGGGGAGGGTCACGGTGCCTGAGAAGGGAGGGTGCGGGCGTGTGAGGACTTTCACAGTTTCCCTGGCCCAGGGTTGCAGGGATGTTCAGAGGCATCACTGGAAGGAGTCATGGGCTGCCAGGAAAACCACATCCTCTCTTTGCTCCCAAAAGTATGAGTTCATGGAGAATGTTAAACCAAAATAGATTGAGATGTATTTTCTGTTTGAAATAAATTAACATTTTAGCTAACACTAATATCGCTTTTTAAAAGTAGGCAAGGCCAATTTCTAGCAAATTTTACTGAAGTATTTATCTTTTCAGTCTGTCTATAAGAGCAGTGCATGTACTTGTTAATTAATTGCTACCTGAGGTCTCATATTGGCTGGATCATAGGTAAGATCTATTAGTTAGATTGCATTTGGAAACAAAGTATATAGTTAAGAAAGGAAGGTTCTATGCCATCACAGAAGTTCTTGTACGCAGCTAGCTATATGAACTTTTCAGTGTTGCATCCCTTTTTATCAGCGCTTCCTGTTTGTAGGTTGGCAGCCTGCTTAAAAACAGTTGCATTTGCACAGAGTGGTTCAATGATGAACTGCAATTTCATACAACTTGTATACCATGTCTTACTGCTGTCCATCTTGGGTAAAGGAACATTGCCTGATGGGACATGTTCTTTTAAGAGTATATTTTTATTATAATCTGATGCAGTCCTCAAGCACAGTGCATCACTCAGTTCTCTTGAATTTGTTTTCTTGAACTAATACAGACAAAGAAGAATAATTTTCCCTTCAGCAGTATTGGTCATGCCACATTGATTTGATATTTAGAATATTTTACTTCATAATGCGATGTTTGTACTTGGTTACAGTAAAATTTTGAGATCACTTTGTACAACCAGGTCTTTTTTTCACTGTTTCTGTGTTTCCTAGTTCTAGTTGTGGTAAAAGCCTTTGAACAATGTGATTACCCAGGTATTCAGGTCTCTGATTTATCTTTTCAACCCCCCTATTTCTTACTTATTTCAAAAAAATCCTGTTGATCTTGTATCTCTTTGTGTTCTCATGAGAGCACCAAAATAGATGTCTGTCAGTCTAACCCGATCATAGAATCCTGTGCTCTGTAATTGAGTGGAAGGTGTACTCTGAAGACTTTCTTCTTAACTAGAAGCTGAAAGCTTTTCCAATCAAGGAAAATGCTGGCAACTGCGGGTGCGCTGCCTGTTGATGGAACCTGCCACCGAACTCAAATGAGAGCAGCAATTTATAATTGGAAGGAAGACTAACATAACTTAATTCTTGAAAATTATTTATCATTATTCTTGGAGTAGATAGAGGTAGATTTTCTAATGACTGTATGTTACTTTTTGAACAGTTTAGTTTATTCTACAATAGGTAGGTGCAGCTTTACTACTAATGATTATTATGGTAACTAAAAGCCCTTTGTTTGAAAGGGGTATTTAGATATAGTTGATCTAACCACCCTGTAATAAGTAAAACGAATGCTGTATGTACTAAAAATCAAAATGCTCTTTATTGTAAACCTTTTTTCTGCCCAGCTTCTGTTTCAAATCTGAAGTCACAGTGACTTGTAGTCTTATTTATGTCTACAGAAAACAGCACTTTTAAGGAGTTTTTCGGGGATTTTATATTCATTTTTCTGTTGAAGGAACAAGATTGAACTTGTTCTGTTGATACCAACTACTAGTTTTTCTTTATTTCACTGAGAGTCTATGGAGAATTGATTTCAAAATGATGTCACCCATAGATAGGATTGCAAACATATCAAATTAAAACATTATATGAAGCCTTGCATCAAATTAAAACATTAGTTCATTCATGATGAATGCATAATAATGATTCTCATAATTAAGATGCAGTTTTGTAATTTGTAATAAAGATTTATCCAAATTTAGGTTGACTTATTTTCCTGGAGGAGTAAGAGATAAGTCTGGAGTTGTAGATTTACAGCAGGTTGTACTATAAGTGGAGCAGAAGTACTTCTTACACATAGTATTTATAACACTTTGGGTAACCTTTGACTGTTTTTTAACTTTTTTTTTTACTATGTTTTTATTTTTATTACATATTAAAATATTTTGCTGAGGTTTCTAACTAGACTGATTCTAGAATAAAAGGAGGTCTTAAAAAACAAAAAGCCTGAAAACACAGGTGCTGTTATTGGAATTGGTATCAAACCCTGAGTTTGGACTCTCTTTGCACGTTTTTAATTCTAAGCAGATCTCATGTAACTTCTAATCATCTCAGCATAGATGTCAGATTGAACTTGTCAATGCAGTCTAATAGCCAGAAATTCTGCTGACAACGAGTAGCATGAACTCTAATCTTATTTGAAGAACATTTCCACTCTATAGATGAGGGAACTCAGACTGTGATTAGAGCTGATAAAAGGCTGTAAGATCTTTAGTATAAGTCACAGCAAGCATTAAATGGTTTAACAAACAGGAAGTTATACAGCAGGAGAATACAAAATGTTCTCAAGGTCAGTGCAGCTGAAATAAACTGGAATCACAAGTTAAACCTCATGAGATACCAAGTTCACTAGCTGCGAAAAGCAGTTTTCTTAAGCTGTGCTTCTCTCACTTGGTTTCTAGGCAGCTGTTTGTGGTGCTTCTTAAAAGCCCAAAATCTGCCTCTTAGGCCTTAAAGAAGGCAGTTGTTCAGGGTATGGAAGATTTGAAGAATGTGATTTTATGCAGGCTCTGCAGGCAATATTTGGGAGGGCTTTAGTGTCCTCCTACTTGTCTAGGCCTTTGCTTCCTCTGGATTTCTAGCTGTAGAGACGTTGGAATTCGTGGCTGCGTTGCTCGTCAGTGCAGCGATGCTCCGTTCTGAAGGAATAAACAGTAATGCTACTGCAACCCTCAGTGGTTTCAGGTTTTTAACAGTTTTCATACTGCCAACTAGTGCTAACAGTAATTCTGACAAAGGTTGGTATAATGTGCTCTGACAGAACCAGATAAACATTACATGCTAACTTGTGAATTCTAGTATTCAGACTTGGAACTGAATAATGAAGAGGTGAAAGGCTGAAACTGTCACATTCTGAATATATCTTACATTTTAACACCAGACTGAAAAGAGTTAGTACCATCAACTGTAGGATTAATTCATGTACAAAACAGAAATTCATGCTATTGTACTAAATGAAATATTGTAAAACACTTTGTCACTTACTGGGTAGTTTGGCTTGTGGGGTAAGCCTCACTATTCACATTTGGACAGCATTCTTCCCTAGCAGTGTCTAGCTCATGCATTCCTGTCCAGTGATGTCCTTTCGTACTGTGCTGTCATTCTGTGGTAATCACTGATGTAAGATTTAAGTTACCAGACTACCTGCCTCAATGAGATCAAACGCGGCAAATGGATTCAGAATCAAATTTAATTGTTATAACAATTTACACTGTGTAAACCATGGATACACTAGGTAGATGTTTTAGTTTAGAGACTAAGCCTTTCTTCATTGGTTTCTGCTATCATGTCAGCTGAAGAGGGTAGTATTTGTAGTTTTTTTCAGGTGTGAAAAAGTAGATCACATAAATTTTACAAGGACTGAAGCAAGAAGAGGGGCCATTAGTGCACTGGTGGATAAAGTCTGTTGTCAACAAGAGACTGTACTACATTGTTGTAGCACAAAGAATCAGTGACATTTTATGCTGAGATTATATGGGATGTGAACAGGAATTCTACAGAGCCACGCATAGTGGAAATGTGTACAAGAGTAGATTGCTTGGTTAAACCATATGTGTCTCTGCTTGGATACAGGATCATGCAAGAAACATTCAGGCGCTATCTGCCTCCATTGATACCTGGGTGAATGTTAAGAGGGGGGCTCCAGTTCTGTAACCATTGCAGACAGTGCCGCTTTGTTCGTTCCTGATGTCTGCAGCAGTTGCAGCTGTTGTGCTGGAACACGCTCCTCCCTGCCTGGTTCAGGCTAGAGGCTACATGCCTTGACTTTCCACATTCTGCTCTCAGTATTGGTATTTCTGCATTCTATGAATCGCCTAAGTGTTCCTTGAAAAACCTGTAAAAGATTTGGAAGTTCATACCAATGAAAGCACCTACTCTGTAGAGATCATGAGGAGCTATCTAACTTTACAGAAGCATTGTATGAGGAGAAAAAAAATTTGCCTGAGAGCAAAATCCATGTAAAGAAGAGGAGAGTGTAATGGGACCTGCGTTGCAATGGAAGCAATCTGAGCAGATAAACTTTTTGCCTTCAGTGTTCTATATTGGTAGCATTTCTGCCTGACTTCCGTAGTGAAGGTTGGTCACAGATAGTCACTGGGCAGTCCCAGAACATTACCTGGCACCATAGCTGCAGGTTTATCTCATTTTCTGATTGCCTGCCACCCAGGACTGACATAGCTGATTAGTAAATGACAATGGGTACAAAATTATTGGGAGGACTAGAAGACTTATTAAAGAGAGGCCCTCTATCCACTTAATGTTTCCTGTCCCATTAACTCAGAAGTCACTTTGGGCATTTGCAGTATTAGAAGAAAGTAATGTCTGCAATGTAGCCCAGGAGGTTTTTGAACCTGGATCCGTGTGAAAGAGCTCCTTTTCTGCAGAAGTCCTTTGTTTTAATTTCTTTCTCTACTTCTGTATTTCTCTCTCCCTCACGTGGTCGCACAGAGGTTAGTTCTCCAATAAAAGATTACAAGGGACTAGGCAAGAAATCATAAAGCTTGTGTTTATGATTTATTTTGTCTTCCCCCCATTCTGATTTCTCCTGAGCTTATCAAAGGTTCCGTCAGAGTTTTTTCACCTTTTCTGGATGAATTCCAAAATGTATAGTTGATTCTGCTTCCGTATAGCGCTCTGTACTTTCCTTTTTAGGTGAAGTCACTATCAAGAGCTAGTGAAGAGGTGCCAGTGTCCATAAGTTTTCAGTCAATAGGAATATCTTCAGCAACACTTTAATTCTGGTCTGGAATTTGTGCTATTAATATTCCAGAAATTGTACTGAGCTACTCCATAGGAACAAAATTTAAAATTTATCCCCAGGGAATGTTTTTCTGTGTTAAGTTTAATGTCAGCCTAGGTTCTGCAGTTCTGCTCATCTTACTGCACAACAATCACTTGGTGTCAATCACTTCTGAAATGGTGACTTTACTAATTTTTTTCATGCTTACAATTCATGTTTAGATCACAGAAGAAATTGGGAAACTTGAAGACAAAGTAGAATGTGCCAATAATGCTCTGAAAGCTGATTGGGACAGATGGAAGCAAAACATGCAGTATGATATGAGATCAGCATTCACGAATGTGGCTGAGAATAATCTCCGTTATTATGAAGAGGTAAAACACACTTACTCATATCAATGTTATTATTTCATTGATTATTTCAGTGGAGAAGTCAGTGGATTGTAAATAAAGAGGAATTTGTGCATTTTAGTTCAAAGTTATATTAACTTCAGGATCAGAGGAAAGAGGGAGTCAGTTATCCTTAGACTGATATGTTTTAAACAAAATGTATTTTATTTGAGCCCCAGTTGTTGATCCTGAGTTCATCATCGACAGAGGGCAGTGTTGTTTTACTAAGCACAAGAATCTGGACTATACTTTTTGGTTCAGTGTCAGCTGCTATATTTCAGTTTGGAAACCTTTTGCTGTAACTGCACCAAGAAGCCCTCTGAAAAGCTCAAACTTGCATAAATAATTTTGCATGAGGAAAAAAATTAAATATGATTCCTTTTCAAAGAGCGCATGCAGAAAATTCTTACTGTTGTTATTTCTCTGCTAAGGAATTGTCTTTCATGAAGTAATCAGGATACTAGGATAAAACTGTAACAACACAGTTTCGAGGAGTCTGTGTGAAAAGCTTATTGCACATTTTCTAAAAATATACAAATGCTGCAAGCATATACAATTAATAAATTGAATCTTGTTATATTTGAAACTTACTACTTTGGAAAAAAAGAAAAATGGTTAAAATTAAATTTCATTTTCAACTCAAATGCCTTGTCTAATATTTTTGGTAAGGATTCCCTTTTACAAGAACGTATTATTAGAAACTTGAAAGCATGTAAGGAAGTATATTAAGTAAGTGTTCTGTGAATTTTCTTCATTGGGAATGTTGTTTCTTGAAGTGCACATTTTGAAAATATCCCAGATGTCTTGAATTTTTTTAAAGAACTTCTCTTTTTAAGAACTTCCCTTTATGTTGGAAAAAAATAGGAGTATAATAAGCCTTCTATTAATCATAGAACAATATTTTTCATAAACATATGTTATTGCAATTTGTAACTTCCAGTCCTGCATTCTGAACTTTTTATGGCTTGCCCATTAGCTGATGACAGTGTCCTGATTTTACAAATCATTTTGTTAGAACAGAATTGAAAAGACAGAGCTCTTGATCATCAAGTCTAATTAATTAACATACAGTCTGTGAGATGCATGGACATTGACAATCTGTTGTTATATATAAAGATCAAAATATTTTCTGAAATCAGGCAGCAAACTTTTGGCATCCTCTCACATCTTCTTCTTCAGTTATTGATGCTCTCTAACTTCTACGTCAGGAATATGCATGCTAAATCAATATGGGAATATATTGGAATACTTTGTTCGTGATGGATTAGCTAAATTAAAACATAAAAATAATCCTTCGATTCTCTTACCCATCTAGAAATGCTTTTTGTTCAATTAGAATTTTAATTCAGAATACCAAAGCTCATAATGAACATGAAATTATGATCATAAGTCACAAACTGCACAAAATGATTCAATTATCACTGTAACCATAAATGGTTCTTTGTAAATAGCCACCGTAATATTGGACAAATCGATGTATACTAAGCCATTATTCTTTGTTGATGTTTTTCTTGAATATTGACATCTGCAGAAAATGTTTTTGCTGTCGTATATTGATAGATCTAGATTTTAGAAAAAATATCTTATCTTACTGGGGTTTTTTTGAGACCTGCAGTTAAAGCTGATGGTTAATTACTGGAGAAGTGATTGCTGACAGGGGGCCCTATATTACAAACTAGAGGCGTTATGCTTCTGCAAACAGAAGAAAAAGAAGCACTGCCCAACCACTTTAGCTGTTTGGAAGTAAAAATTCAGGCAGAGAATCTCATTAACCTGAGAATCAGAACACCATTTGTTGTCAGTAGAAAACAAAATCCTACTTTATTTTTAAAGAAAATAGTTTGAATTGCACTTCTTAAACTGATGCAAAAGCACAGTGCGCCTATTACGCTACTTCGTTTACAGTGATTTTCACCTGCTTAGTCATTACTGCATCATTACCTTTCTCTCACATATCCAAAGTTAAATTACTCTTTCATGCTTTTGATGCATCATTTTATGCTTACAAGCCTACTCTTGCTTTAACATCCTTCATGTTGTTTCCTGCATTTTTTTCCCTACCAACCCATTCACACAAGGAGACCTGGACTTCAAAGCACATTCTGTCCATGTTCCCACGCACCATGGATGCCATTGATATGGTTGAACTGACCAGCTCTTCTGTCTGTCTGTCTACTCTGGAGAGTCATCTCCTGATTTCTAACTAACTCAGTCGCTATACCTGTTTATCCTTCTTTCCGTAGCTTTTTTCCCCCCAGGTAAACTCTTATTCATGTCTCTTCACCTGCAGCGTCTCCTTCCCTTCTGTACAGTAGTGCTTCACTGCATTCCTCGTTATTTCCCAGTCTTGCTCTCCTAGGCCTAACCAGGAACCATTCCCGCTAACGGCCATGGTCTGCATCCCTTAAACTTCTGAGAACTACAGAGTAATGGGAGACAGACATGTCATATTTTCTGGTGGCTTTTGCACTAGAGAATCTAGTCCTTCAAAATCGTACAGTTTGTATAAAATGAAAGCTGAGGTGATCAAGCACAACAAAGCAGTATGTCAAGGTACACTAGAATTTCTAAAATGTTATTTCTTCTTTGTTAAAATATGGGGAAAGA